AGAAGCAGAAAGCTAGGGGTCTTTGGAGGTTGGAAGACACTCCTGCAGTTTAACTAATTGGTGTGTGTTATCTGGCTTCATAGATAGAGCTGGGTGTCATCTGCATAGCAGTGAAAATGTATGCTGTGTCTTCTAATGATACTGCCTGAAGGAAGCATATATAATGCAAACAGAATTGGCCCTAGCACTGAATCCTGTGGAACTCCATTATTTACCTGTGTGTAAAGAGGACTCTCCATTTACATGAATAAATTGGAGTCTATTAGATAGATTATTACAACCCATTGCAGCGCAGTACCTGTAATACCTACTGCATGCTCTAATAAGTTATTTTGGTCAACATTTGTAACCTTCACTAAAGCTGTTTCTGTGCTGTGATGAGCTCTGAAACCTGACTGAAACTCTTCAAATAAACCATTCCTCTGCAGATCTGTTAGCTGTTTGACAACTACTCTTTCAAGGATTTTTGATATGAAAGGAAGGTTAGAGATTGGCCTATAATTAGCTAAGACTGCTGGGTCTAGAGATGGCTTTTTGAGTAACGGTTTAACTACTGCTAGCTTGAAGGCCTGTTGTACATAGCCTATTATTAGAGATAAGTTGATCATACATTTGGACAGATTTCTAGAAATGCTTAACCAACAGTTTTAAATTCTCCCTAATGTCGCCTGCTCTGGCCCCTGGAAGACAACTACCTGTGTTTGGTGGCATAGCTTTGCATGTCTCAGAATAGAATCGCCGAGTGGGGAGAAAGAATTAGACACACAAACTGGTTGGTGTACCAGGCTTCTGTTTAAACTACATTTCCTCCTCACTGTCACCCAGCCATCCGGTTTCCCCAGCTGCTCGGGACAGTCTGCATGGGGACAGCTAGGGGGGGCCTACGCTACCTTCGGCTCCACAGGCTACAGGGACCTGGCTCTTTTGAGGGTGCAAAGCAGAGTCTCCAGTTCAGTGATCCTGGCCTCCAGAGCTGCAAACAGGCTACATTGAAGTATCATTATTGCTAAAGGAGGCTGAGGGGTAATTAAACTTACTTAAAAAACTTAGACTTATATTACTTTTAACAGAAAAAAAAAAGAAAAAGAGAGAAACTCTTCCAGGAAAAAGTTTAATCGTTGTCATAGTGAACATGGTGAGCTAAGACAGCTCGCTGATACACAAAAACAAACATCTGCAATTACAACCACGTTTTGGGTGAGGCTTCTCAAAAGGCTACCGACTGAAGGCTGGCTGACAATTATAATACAATGCATCATTAGTAGAACACATGACAGAAATACCACTCAGTGTGGGAACCATATTTCTCTTGCTTTGGTCTAAAATCTTTCCGAAAAATTAGGTTTGGTCTGCCTTCTGTACTTTTAATTCCATCAATAACTGCTCTGTTAAAAGGTTGAAAATCACAGTTGTTTATAAATCAAGGACTTAAGACTCATTAGAATAAGCATGCTGTCACACAGCTGAAAAATTGGGTGGTTTAAATAATAAAACATGCTTCTTACAACAAAATTATGACAACCAAAGTAATAAGATGCATGGACTCTTAAACTGAGTGGCATTTCCTTGTAATTCTGTGGCAGTTGAAAATAGCAAAATGTTTTTGGAAGAGTCTTCAAGAAGCAGGCAAACAGTTTTTGTTCAGCAACTGCGTATGTGTCACAATTCTTCAACATCAAAAAAAAAAAGAAAAAAAGAATGAAATGGTCAACGATTCATCTTTTCAAGTGAGCATTTCTGAAGCATAAACATTCATTTTGTTTTAAAGTGGAGCTCTGCAAAGAGTAACTACACAAACAGACAGCAGTTCTGCCTCTTGAAATCCTCCCCTGTGCTAGCAGAGAGAACATAATCCAAAAACTACCCAAAAAAAATGTAAATAAAAAAAACACCAACATTCAGGTTGTGACTCACTCTCTTATGACATTTTAGTTTATAAAAAAAAAAAGAAAGAAAAGAGAAGGAAAAAAGGATGTATCAGATTCCATAGTTTAAAGTGCAGAGCTGCTGTAATGAGCTGCATGTGACACAGAGTGAGTCAAAACATGTAGTGTTGCATGTGGGAAAAGAAAACTGCTTCTGCACAGCATCAAGGCAGCGATGCCTGAAATGTATGATTCCCCAGCTGACCTGTGATTCTTTTTTTTCCATCCCAATGTCTGGAAACACCTTTATAAAATATAATTAAGAAACAAACAAAAGAAAAGATAAAATCTAAAATACATTACCAATCACAGTGCAATAAATTCGGAGAAGATTCATTCAAAACTAAATTTCACCATCTATTTAAACTCTGTGAGAGATCAGTTGTACAACCATGTACCACTCCTCATCTGTATCACCCTTTTCTGTATAAGTGCTGCATTATGAGCGTCCACCAGCAGGCGGTGCTGTTACACTGTATGATGACAGAACAAAAGCAAGGGTGTGGGAACTGAAAGCAGAACAAAAAATGGACCTATGGCTCTGTAAACAAATATATATTGTCACACTACTACGCACGTAGCAATTACTTTATAGTTAACAGTTCTATTCATGTGGTCCATCCTGTTTTACTGCATTTTTAAAAAGGCTATTCACACAACAGGGCTCCCTCTGAAGTTTTGAAACAGAGACTGCAAAGAAGGTAACAGAACTCCAATTTGTTTCTCCTCCACTTCCATGAGAGATGCCTGATTTCTGTGATTAGGGACAGTATGGCTACAGAACCAGAGTCCTTTCTGATTTTGAATTAATTACAAAATCTTATGCGAGGTGCAGCATAGGTTGTGGTAAAGCTGTCACACAGAATCAGTTGGATGGCTTACAAACAGGTCCATCTGTAAGCTATCCAATGTTTGTAATATTTCAATGAACATTTTAAAATGAACTAATTTTATTCTTTTTTTTTCTTTTTTTAATTGCACTGGCTATGGCTAAGAAGAACAGATTTCTCTGTGAGCTTTACTGTAATGACACGCAGACACGCCAATCAGCTGTGTCCACATTTGATCAGTGGCCTCAGTGTCCAGTACAGTCAAGCAACCCTGTTTGCTGTGCAGAGCGCTCTCCAACATCATTCTGTGTGTGCAATTTAAAATGATCTTCATTTCTTTCTTTCTACACTGCACATTGAACAAAATCAAGGGAACTTCCTGAAATTGTATGCATGTTCTTAAACCTTAAATAAATTCAAACAAGATGGAATTCTTGGCAAAAGACTCTTGTTGCCGGCAGTGTGATGAAGCATCATCGAGTGTTCCCAGGTAATTTTTTTCCCATGTAGACATTAACGGCTGCCTAAAAATATGGTGAAGTATTTT